CATTACAATATTGTGTCACGAAGAATATAATGAATATAAATTTTAACAAAATTGATTTTGCTATTTAAAAAAGAATTCTAACACAATTTGTTTTCCTTTTGCATATTATTTTTATATAATTTTATTTATATATATATATATATATATATATATATATATATATATATATATATATATATATATATATATATATATATATATATATATATATATATATATATATATATATATATATATATGTATGTATGTATAATATTTATATGATAATATAATGTTTTATTATTTTTTATATTAATTTGTTTTAAAAAAAAGTTAAAATTCTAATAAATTTGTCTGTGAGATCTAGATCAATTAAAAAAATTCTTTTTAATGTTTGACTCTTATAATTGATAAATTAACAAGAGATCTAGATCAATTAGTTTTCACAATTATGCTAAAACGATTTTTATACTAGAAGAAAAAGTTCAAAAAGCTTACATTTGTCTTAATCTTCTTGTTTTTCAAAAGATCAATGAAGTTATACTAATCTAAAGCTTGTCTTAGAGATAAGGTAATTCTAATTACAAATTATTTTAATTAGGATTCAAAATATGGTTCTTGTTTTTACATGTATAGAGAAAGTTTTATATGCATTCAGGAATTTTATGCCACTACAACTTTACCGAAGGTGATGATTTTCTCTTTTCTTGCATTTGATACTAAGAAATGTAAATTCACAAATCTTGGAGGAATATAGGCCGATTTGCTTAATCGGTTGCATCTACAAAATTATTTCAAAACTTCTTGCTGCCAGATTGAGAAAAGTAATTGGAAAATTGATTTCCGTTAATCAGTCGACATTCTTTCTAGGAAGCCAACTTCTTGATGGTGTATTAGTCCTTAATAAACTTGTAGACTATGCAAAAAGACGGAAGAAGAGTTGCCTTATATACAAGGTCGATTTTGCGAAAGCATATGACTGTGTTGATTAGAGTTTCCTTAAGGACACATTACGTAACATGGGATTCGGGAAGGCTTGGTTGCGTCGGATGGATGGTAGCGTATTGTCAAGCCACACGTCGGTTCTTGTGAACGGGAGCCCAAATGATGATTTTCAAGCTATGAGGGGTTTGAGACAAAGAGACCCTCTTTCCCCTTTCCTCTTTGCAATTGCAGCAGAAGGCCTTTCGATTTTGGTTAATAGGGCAGTGTCTATTGGCTTGTTAAAGGGAGTCAAGTTTAACGAAGATGTATCGTGCAGTTTACTCCAATTCGCTGACGATACGGTGGTAATGTGTGATGGTTCTTGGTCCAGCTTGTGGCTATCAAAGCTATCTTAAAAGAATTTGAACTACTTTCGGAGCTACAAATTAATGCTTGGGAGAGTTGCTTATTTGTGGTTGGTTTTGAGGATCATGTGGTGCGAGTTGCTGTTGTGTTTCTTGGTAGCTGTTACGATGTTTTACCATTTAAATTTCTTGGATTGTCTATTTGCGGAAATCATAGAAAGAAATCTTTTTGGAAGCCGGTTGTTTCGTGTTTCAAAGCGAAATTGTCATCTTAGAAGGGTCGGTTGTTATCAATGGGTGGAAGAATCACTTTAATTAATTTTTTACTTACCAACTTTCCTATACATCATTTGTCGTTCTTTAGAGCACCTGCTGCTATTTTTCGGGAGTTAATCACTATTCAGCGTCGGTTTTTCTGGGGTGGGTCGATTGATAAAAATGGGGTTGCTTGGATAAGTTGGCGTAACACATGCAAGGATAAGAAGTTTGGAGGTCTGGGAATTAAACACTTGGGGCTATTTAATAGAGCATTAGTAACCAAATGGATGTGACAGATGTTAGATGCCAAACTTTGCTTATTTGCTCTATTAAATGTTGGCATCTTTCTTTCTTTTTGTAGGTGAAAGTGATTAGAATCACTCATGTTTTAGATGATATGTTTCATTGTTTGAAAATGTCTTGGTTGCTTTGATTTGTGTGCTATTGTGCAGAAATTAGGCACAAATCAAGTGAAGAGTAAGACACAAGAAATTAGGCAAGGAAACTAAGACAACAGCAAAACATCATAAAGCTCCCCGTGCGAAGCTCCCAGTGAACTTCCCCAAAAAAATCATCACCAACTTCGCACATCGAACTTGCCAGCAAAGACCCTAGGAAGACTGGATACTGTTCACTCAGAGAGAAAATAGACTAAAACTCGTTGTGCAAAGAAGATAGCGAAGGCTTCGCAGTGCGAAGAATGTCTCGCACAACGAACTTCAAATATTTCTCAAGGGCGGTTTAACTGTTCAGAGGCACCTGAGGTGCCTAATTTGATGTTCGCTAGGCAAAGGATCTGTTCGCAGTGCGAACAAGACAGATCCTGAATGTACTATATAAGTATTTTTCTTGCTTTTTAGGTTAGAATGTTATTTTTTTTACATCAGAACTTATCTCTCTTCATTTCAAGTTTATTTTAGAGAGAGAAATACAAAACCCTAAGAGTGAGGAGGTAAGATCTTTGATCTCTTGTTGGAGTTTGGATGTAATCTTTTGATACCTTATGTATTTCATCTAATATATGTTTGTGAACTAGTTTGGATTCTCTATTGATTGATTATCTTTGATTGCTTATTTGTGGGTCTTGACAAAATCTTTTCACATCTTTGATCTAAGATTTTCATCTATCAATGAACAAACTTTTGACATGGTTTTGTAAGTTGATATTCATTGTATCTTCTATTTTACTGTGTTGAAAAAGTAGCATGAGTAGGATCAATACGATATTGTGCAGGTGCGTGATAATAGTGATGAAGAACGATGTTCACAACCATTTGGCAGATTAGGTGAATACATGTAAAAAGGGTTAAGCATATATACGTATCTGATCATTGGGTTTTATTCAAAAAATCGTTTATCCGATATGGGTGTCGTCTTTGTTTACCTGTATATCTTTGATTTGAACTGCTATAGATATGTCCTCTTTAGATATGGATCTAGGATGATTACTTGTTAGGTCCTAAACTCTAGACATAGGTTTAGGCTTAGTATTTGCGTGAGTATCAGTTCTTAATGCTGGGTGTTGTAGTTTTGTTGCACGAGACATCACCAATGAGACAATACGGTTGTTCTCTCGACATTGCGTTAGAGATGACCTCTGTTGTGGGTGATACGTGAGGATTTTAGACGAATGATTGAGTTGTGTTTAACATGATCAGAAGAATGCATGTGTTATCAATTGATGAGATCCAATCCCAACAAGGCTCCGTTTATATTTCAGTCTTTACTTTTTATTTTCCGTCTTTATATTTTCTGTCTTTTATTTATGGTTCCTTGAACCTTTTAAACCAAACCTTTTGAACAACAAGCTTAAAAATGTAGAGACCGTTGAATGAAGTTCTTTCATCGCACTGATCCCTGTGGAGACGATATAAATCCCGGAGGGAACTCCTTCAAAACTAAGTTTTTGCTTTTTACCGCTTTACTGCAGTTCGAACAGCAAATCGTAAACGAGAGGAACATGGTTTGGGCTAAGCTGCTGACTGTAAAATATGGCAATGTTATCAACAGGATAATTTTAAGAGAGGATACGGGTACAAATAAGTATGATTCTCTGTGGTGGCATGATTTAACGGAAATAGGAGATTCAAAGGACGAGGGCTGTTTTGGAAACAACCTAAAATACAAATTAGGTGATGGTTGATCCATTCCGTTTTGGTCGGGTCGATGGATTGGTAATGTAATACTGCAGGATTTTTTCCCATATATTTTTGTTGTTGCAGATGCATCTGCTATTATTAAAGATATGGGAGCTTGGAGTGGTGAGATTTGGTCGTGGAATAGTTTCGTAATCAACACAGGTGCCATTTCTTTCAGTTATGTTGAGGCGTGGGATTTAGGTGACATTCTACGTGACATCAGGCTCAGTAAGAAGGTAGCGGATAATTTTTTGTGGCCTACTAGTGAATCAAGTGTGTTCTCTGTAAAATTCTGCTATGCATGATTGTTACTTCATGCAGGCACGTCGGTTTTAGGTCCGAATCTGGAGGCTGCTGCTTAACAGATTACCAACGCGGTCCAACTTGGTTCGGAGAAAGATTATAACCAACCCTCACGAGATGGTTTATGCGTTTTGTTTCAATGCCGATGAAGACGTTAATCATGTATTTTACTGTTGTTCTATAATTAAGGTGGTGTAGAAGCGTATTTGTATTTGGGTGGGCATTTGTTGGATTGACGAAGATTCGATCATTAATCACTTCTTGGCTTGGTTCTTGAAGGTGGGTAAATTATGCAGTCATAAAGATGCGAGGTTGATTTGGTTTGCTATGTGTTGGAGCATATAGTGGTTGAGGAATTAGATTATGTTCAACAATGAAATCGGAGACCTTTCGGTATAATTATTATGACTTGTTTAAAAACCCGACTGATTTTTTGTAACTCGTTAAATTTTGTTTGTGCCTTGTAATCGGATTGGAGTATTTCTAATACTCTATGTTGAATCTTATTGTTTATAAAAAAAATAGAAAATTATTTATTTACTTATTTACAAAATATAGAAACAAATCAAAGATGAACAAAAAAAGTAAACAAACTCCTTAATTATTTGGAAATAATAACAAGTGTATATTATTAATACATAACAATGAAATTAATTCACAATAAATAACCTTGATCCATGTCAAGAAATATAGTAAAAAAATATATAATACACTCCTTCCATTTCATTCCACATGAATAAAATTAATTAATTAAGACTTAAATAGATAAATCTTCACAGTAAATTGATTAGATTTTGATTTTCATATATGTATTTTAATTTAAATAATTAATATTAAAATCATTTTAATATTTGTTGCTAACGTTAAAATCGACAGAGAAATTATTTTTACCTGCCTATTTTTTTAACGTTAAAAATAAATACTAAAAGATTTTAACATTAAAAAATTATTTAAAAAAAAATAAAGACGAAAACCAAAAGCTGGTTGACTTACCAGACGATTTACCTAACTAAACATTAATTAATTACCTTAATCACTTAAGAAAATCAGGAAGTTCAACGTTGTTTTCATCCTCAAGTTGATTAACCCAACCATACTTCTCCATGAAAGGATTAACCAAACTGTGTGGTGGATAATCATGAACACAATCATCCCAAACATTCCCATATCCATTTCCAAGATCCTTCATCACTTCCCATAAACAACTATTGCATTTAAATCCAGCTCCAAAACTTATCATAAGAACTCTATCACCTTTCTTTAATCTCTTTTTTGCTTCCATGTAACCTAACACATACCACAAACTACTAGCAGAAGTGTTACCAAAACGATGAAGTGTCATCCTTGCTGGCTCAAGATCATATTCACTTAGATCTAAACTCATTCCAACTCCATCTATCACTGATTTTCCTCCTGTATGGAGACAAAAATGATCAACACCGGTTTTGAAATTCAATGGTGATTTTTTTGTACTTTTTGTTCCTCCAACATTACAAGACTTGGAACAAGAACTCAATGTTTTAAGTTTCTCCAAAAGTGATGCTAAAAGAAACCTAAATAGTTCTCTTGTTGGTAGAATTTTGGGTGATATTACTCTTAGATTGTCGACAAATGCTCTTGTTGCGGCTTTTGGGAGATTTTTTCCTAGGAACATGCCACGCCTACCTTGCTCATCTTCTTCTTGAATACAACAACCGAAGGACTCGTCTCTCGCGCCGTGGTGAGTTCTTACTAAACACTTCAATTTGAGTATGGCTTTGTCCTTTAAGGATCTTTTGTTTGTTAGAAGAACCGCGCATCCGCCCGAGCGGAAGAGACAATTGGCAAGGATCATTGATTTGTTGTTTCCGGGATACCAATTTGGACTAAGAGATTCTGATGTGACCAAAAGTGCTAACTTGTTTCTTTGTGATTTGAAAATGTTTTGAACAATGTCTAGTGATATAAGACTAGCACTGCAGCCCATTCCGGTGAGGTTGTACACTTTTACGTCGTGTCGGAGTTTGAAACGGTTGATGATCCGCGCGGATAGAGACGGAAGAAGGGAGAGCATCGAGATGTTGACGACGAGGACGTCGATTTCCCAAGGGGAAATTTTCGACCGCGCTAGGAGTTTCACAATGCTATCTTCGAAAAAATCTTCCATCTCCGAGATCCCGTCGTGGATTGTTGGCGATGCTTCGCGGCCTTCGAAGACGTTTCTTGGCGCGTAAGTTTGCTCGCCTATGCCGGAACTTACTATGGCTTTGAGAAGAAACTTGTACTCATCTAGACCCAAATTCTCAGTTCTTTTGATTACTTTGCCACAAAACTCTGTCCCTAGCATTCTATCTTGTGTTGGCTTGTGACATTGGTAATCTAATATGTAACACTCTTGGTCCCTCTTTTGATCCAATAGTTTCCATAATAGGAAACACAAGTACAATGCCGGAACTACATAAATGAAAGGGAGAGACTCCATTTGAGAGAGAGAGAGAGAGAAAGGGTTAGAGAGATTTTTAGTGGAGAGAGATTTGGAGATGGAAAGTTCAAGGTAGAGAGTAGTGTTTATAAGGAGAGAGTTTTGTTGAGTTAAGTGTGTTATAGTGATAGAATTTTTAAGCATGTGAATGTGTTCATTAGACTTAACAACATGTCAATATCTCAACCCCCAACAATTTTTTTTTTTTTTTTGTTAAAATCTTTGGTGTATCATACCTAAATCCTATGTAGTAGCTTCTTCTAAATGCAAAGTTGTTGGATATGGATATATAAGAAACTTTTGCATTCTCAACGACTCTCTAACCAGTGCAACTACCTTCCAAGGTCTAGTTAAGTGTGTGTGTCGAGTTGGAAAAAAATTGGTATTTGCTTTTATAAAAAAAAAGAAGATAGAGAAAGATGAAAATATGGTTTGTGCATATAGCTATAATGTGACTATTCTCATTTATGGTGTAGCGTTATGAAATGTGCATAGGTACCATGTCACAATTTCATTTATGAGAGCAAGATAAGATGTAGCTTTTACTTTTAAGAGAATTTTAGTTTTAAGAAGCAACATTGGTGGTCTTTATGAGTGATACATTGGATGAGTTTACAAGTTGAAGATATCCCGAGTTCATTCAACAAGTTGATGATTTTGAAATAATTGAATCAAAATTTAACATAATATTAAAATCTATCTAAGATCACTTAACAAATTGGTTTGAATACATATGGTTTCAACGTAAATTCGATTATGACATGAGTATGAATTTTGTTGTCAATGTAAAAATTTTGTTGATGAGCAATATTGAAGCATGAGCATGATAGCATGTGATACATGAGAACATGTGATGTACATCACCAATTTTCTTCTTTTACGGTTGATGATAAGTTAGTTAGAATGTTGTTAATGTTGGTTATATATTATCTAAGAAACACTATGGTATAGTAGAGTGTAGGTAGCTTATGGTGCAAGTCACCATCTTGTATATAACTCCTCTTGTATTTTTCTTCTTCAATGAGAATCCATTTTTAAATATTCATTTCAATCTTCAAACAATTTGAAACTTTTTACCTATGTATGATCACTTGATCTTGAGTTTTACGTCTGCTCAGATTCAATCATCATCATTTTCTTCTTCCTTTTTTTTATAGGCAAGCATTCTTTCATTGATTGGGAGTACTAAGGTTACTTCCATCCAATAAACAAAATCCATCACAACAACTCCAACACCTGATGAGATAACTACAAGAAATCAAGAGGACATTTGAGCCACTCATAATAAGAACACATATTATTTTGTTTATACTAAAGTGACAACCACCACCATAAAGACAAAATAATTCCATCGACTATTTCATCGGGATTACCTACTTCATCATTATAAATAATTTGATTCCTCAACCGCCAAATGCACCAACACGACGCAAACCAAATGATGCATGCTGATGGCTTTGAGCATTTCCCCAACAAAGATACAACCCATGTGAACAAATGAAGACAACATTCCTGTTCCAGCAAGCATGGTATCCCAACCCAAGAGACAACTCTCTTCCAAACCAGTGAAATCCGGGGGCAAGAAAAAAACAAAATGATTGTTTTCTTCCTCACTATTAAAACAAAAAAAAAAACACACACCTAGCATTCATGATTACACTTTTGTAGGCTAGGTTGAGGCGAGTTGGCAGCTTGTCAAGAACCATTTTCCACACGAAGATATTTACCTTTAGAGGAATTTTTGTAAACCACAAGAATGATAGTGCAGTTTTTCGATCACCCTCTAGTTCAAGCATCCCAGTGTCTTGTAATGACACATCATAACAGGATTTAACAGTAAAAGCATTGCAGACGCCTAGTGGCTAAGTGAAGCTATTAGCGCATCCCCAAATTGAGTTGATCTTAGCCAAGGTCTCCATCAGTTTAGCATGTTCGAGATCCAAATGACTCCCATCCACCCAATTATTTGTGCTTAGGTCCCAATTCCATTCATGCCCCATCCAATTCGTCTTCCTTTTCTTGTTTACACTGCAGTGTTAATTGCGGTATTCCTTCTTCATTCTTGCACTGCATTGTTTGTTGTAGTCACATTTTCTACTCCATCTTCATCATCGATCAAACATGTTGCACTGTCATGCATCAAAACATCAACTTGATATTGATTCTATTTACTACATTCATCCAAGTGAAGGTCCTAATTCTCTAAATGTTACTCCAAAACTTGATGGCTCCAATTATCTCTCATGGAACAGATCCATGAAACACACATTGGGAGCCAAGAACAAGTGGAAGTTTGTTGACAAATCCATTGGAGTTCCTGATGATGATGATCTCAATTTTTCTCAATGGGAACATCGTAACCACTTCATCCATTCTTGGATCATTAATTAGGTCAGTGAACAAATTGCTTCGATGATCCTTTTCATGATAATGCATTAGATGCTTGGAATGATTTGCATGGTTTTACCAAAGTTGATCTTGATAGAACTTTGACACTACGTTCCACCATTAACAATATGAAGTAAGATTACATGTGTGGTATGGAATATTTTCTTGAGTTAAAGGGGTTATTGGAAAATCTCAACTCTTATAGACCATTACCAATTTGCATGTGTGATCATAGATGTCGCTGCAATGCTATTAGAATAGCTCAAGAACACAATCTTGAGGAACAAGCCATTCACTTTCTCACTAGATTGAATGACAATTTCTTTGTGGTTAGACTCAAGTGTTGCTCACAGATCCCTTGCCATCAATTGATCACATATATTCTCTTGTAATTCAAGAAGAGAGTGTTAGATGCCAAACTTTTCTTATTTGATCTATCAAATGTTGGCATCTTTCATTATTTTTGTAGGTGAAAGTGATTAGAATCACTCTTGTTTTTGATGATATGCTTCATTGTGTGAAAATGTCTTGGTTGCTTTGATTTGTGTGCTATTGTGCAGGAATTAGACATAAAAGAAGAAGAGTAAGACACAAGAAATTTGACTAAGAAACCAAGACAACAGATAAACATCAACAAGTTCGCACATCGAACTTCCTAGCAAATCTACCCATAAAAACATCAAAACGTTCGCACAACGAACTTGTCAGCGAAGGCCTTGAAGAGCATGGTACTGCTCATCCATAGATAAAAGATACTGAAACTCGTTGTGCGAAGGAGCTAGCGAATGGTACGCTAGAGCGAAGGAGAAGCGAAGTCCTAGCGAATAGCCCCAGACTCGAGGCAGTAGCTATTTCGAGGAGAATCTACTGTGCGAAGTTTACAGCGAAGCCTTCACATTGTGAAGGATTGCTCGCACAGCGAATATTTGTAAAAGTCTCAAAGGCGATTTAACTGTTCAGAGGCACCTCAGGTGCCCAATTTGATGTTCGCTTGGCGAAGGATCTGTTCGATGTGCGAACAAGACAGATCCCAAGTGTACTATTGTTAGCTCCTAAATTCGACACCTCTTGAAAGTTGAGATATTTAATAAAATGGCATCAAAATCTCGCTGGAGATAAAAGCTGATCAAAGAGTCCAAGGTCTACGAAGAAGAAGTTTCGAAACATTTGGACGACTTTGGAAAAAATCATGAAACTTCGAAGGGCCATGCTTCGACCGAGACATTGCTTGATGACTATCTTAAAGATTTGAAATTCAAATAAATTGGAGGGAGTAGTTTCATTCGCTAATGACTAAGAGGACATGTGGCACCCGGTGAGCGAAGGGCTCCATGCATCACGACATGTGTCGGAAGATGATGGTTTGTGAAGTTATTGTTAGTTATTTCTTCTAATTATAAATATGAGTTTTTAGAGATTGAATTAGGGTGTTGTAATTTACTTTTGTACAAGTCACTCATGTAATTACTCCAAGTATCCGTGTGTAGAGAAAGAGAGTATCAAGGAGAATGTACGTGATGTAAACACACCGTGTTTTAATTTTCAATGAAGTTTACTTTATCCTTTTACTTTTATTAAGTTTCTTTACCTTTTCGCCATAGTTTCTAGTTTTTATGCATTCTTACTTTACCTTTAACCCCTTTTCTTCTTTTAAAGATTTCTATTTCTTTCTATCCAAATTTCTATCTCCTTCCACTCTTCAGTCTAATAAAAAATTCTATCCTTAAGAATTTTCACCCAATTTTGTCGAAGTGTGTAACTTAGGCAGATTCTAGAAAACGAAACCTTTTAGCACATGTCCTAGGATCAATCTGATCGATCCTATGAGTCACCAAAGTTAGATTTGGAAGATCAGTGGTTGTTTTCCAATTTTCAAGGGAAACAAAATGGCACGCCCAGTGGGACAGTGCTAAAAATTGTCTCTTATACGATTAAATTTGTAGAAATTGCAGTCTTATTGATCTTTTTTGTAAAAAGTGCGTTTTATGTTACTGAGAAGTGGTAGAATTACCGCTGTAAATGAAGAGAGATTAACAAGACGAAACGTTAGGAATATGGCGAAAAATGTGAATCATCCAAATAACCGTAACCCTCAAGGAGACGGTTCTAGTGAAGGAATAAGAAACGGCATAATGCCGCCTTCGATACCATCGACAGGAGAGCAAACAACGCCTCCTATGAGGCCAGACCCAACACCCTCAGTGCTAGGGACTGGATCGACCATAATAAGACCTTATAGTCAACCAGTGTTGGAGTATGTTGGACCTCAAGTGTCGAATCCTCAAACCCCATTAGGAGGAGGTTCAACGTCTAAACAGTTTGTTCCTCCCGGGTTTTCGCAGTTACCAAGAAACCCCCCATATGGGATGCCCACAACTGTAATGCAAGGGCTCCAAAATGCTCCCCCAATATTCTCAGACAATGAAATGGCTTCACCATTGTAAGGATCAGGGTCTGGGTTGAACATTGGTCGAAATCCCCAATGTTTGAGCCTAGGGTATTCGACACAAGGCTCTAACTTGACCAATACCTTTGTTGCGTGTTTAAGACAACAAATGGACGAAAGAAATTTGCAAATGGTTCAAACTTTGTCCCAAACCATGGGTGAAATC